CTTAAAAACCAACTTTTTCCAATATCGTACTCAAATTACTGTTTTCCAGATGGGAATTACCAGATATTCTTTGGTTTTACTCTGTTACATCTTTTTAATTTTAAATTTAACATCTTACTTTTAATTCTAACATACATCTTTTAAACAGCTTTTTTCTTTTAATGATAGCCTATAACCTTACCTTGTTTGTTCAAATTCACCTTCTTTAATACCTTCATAATTCACTATGCAAACGCAATGTCTTTCACTGACATTCTGTTTAATAATACCACAAGTTTCCTTAATTGACAAAAAGCGAATTATTTCTCATTTCAAAATAGAACTACTATATTTTTGCACAAACATTACCTTTATCCATTCAAGACCACCCCTTAACCTGTAACTGACGTAGCAATAGGAAAAAGATTCTTATCATATGCTCTTTCGACATTTGAGGTTTCTAGAACTTCTTTGACAAGTATATCAATACCATCAGAAAATACACTTGAAATTTTTACTCCAGCAGTTTAAAGATGACATATTGTTATAAGAATGGTTTTAGTAAATTTATAAGACAAATAAGGTACGCTGACTATGATATTAAGAAAAATGAAAGCAATTATTCCTGATGTTTGTAATACTTTATATAAAGTTTTTGAGATTATTTTACCTTTGCAATCAAATGTAAAAACAATTGTTCGGATGAAATAAGTAATTATGATGATGATGAACTTTTTAAAGAACTCATAAATTCTATCAAAACTGAATTAAATTCAGTGATAAAAAAAACTATTAAATGTGAAGGTTGCATTGCAAATCATCCTTCACAAAAGACATGATTGCATTATGATAAAATATTGATGACAGAATTAAATATATTGGTGAAGATGTATTTTTATGTATAAATTTTAAAAATGTAAGATATTCTTTAAGGCAGAAAAAAAATTGTTCATTTATTTTTTTGACAGGTTTTTTGAATCGAAATGTTATGAAGATTATAAAAATGCATTAATATAAGTACAGCTATTCTATTTAAATTTCTGTGCTGTAATTTATTATTATTTAATAATATATTATTATTTTCTTCTTCTCAGATGTAAATAAATAGATATTGTTTTAACTTGAAACCACTTTATGTAAAAGAAAATTTTTAAGTATACTACAGAAACCTGTTCTTTGAAAATAAATAAATGTGTTTAAATAGAAAAGTTTCTTGGAAAAATAAAATGTATCGTTATTTTTTATAACATTTAAAAACAATGTAAAACAAATATTGATTGTAGAGGAAGAAATAAGAAAGTGTCATATGTAACCTTTAAAAATATAATTTTATTCAATTTAGTAAGGTTCCCATTTTTTAGGAGAACGTATATGTTTTACAGATTTAACATGCAATTTTTTTTTTCATATTAACATCATGATTCTGTAAATTTTCATTTTTGATATAGTCCATTGGCATGTTGATTTCAGTCAAGGCTTTTAAAAAATTCGTTCGCTTTGGCAGGAATATTAATCTTTTTTTTTTTTTTTTTTTTTGTTGTAAAAAGGATATTGAACAGGTCTATAATATTTGAATTTTTAATTTTTTCCTTATGATATAGTATCTTCCCTTTATCATTCCACTTAAGAATATCAGGATGTCGCCTTAAAATAGTTAATGGGTTTTGTGCTTTTCTTCGCATTCGCTGAGGAACGTTGTCTAAGGTAAGATCTGTACTCATCTCTTTGGCATCAGGGTCCATTTTCTGCACGGGTTCCTCCTCCTTCATTTTCTTTTCAATTGAATGCGGTCCTTTTGCGAATCGTCTTTAGGAGGTTTAAAGGGTGAATTATATTCCTTTAAGTTCAATTTCTTTTGTAAAAGTTCGTAATAACGCACTAATTTCTCACGATCGTCAACTGAACTGTTTAAAATATGCATCATGGCTTTATCCAACTCACTTAACTGTTTATCAGAAATGGTATGCTTTGTCATCATCTCTTCTGGAACTAACACATATTTCTTAGTGAACTCCATTGATTAGTCCTGTAAGAACACTGAGAGCAGCAGGAATCAAAACGTTTAGAAAACCTCCTTTTTGTAAAATTAATTTCCGTTTCTTCACAAGAGAAATCTTACGATTTCCTAATTTTCGTAAAGTTGTTTTATGCTTACAGAGAGACTTCTTTTGTTGCTCTGACAATGGAACGTTTCCTTTGAGTATGTTTAAACTACATTCGCATATAGCTTTTATGCAATTGATATTAATTTTCTTTAATAGCTGTTTCCGTAACTTTAACGGACAAATGTTTAACAGCTGTAACTGTCTTAGCTGTTTCTTGACCAGCGTCATTTTATATAAAATGATGATGCATTTTATAAAGCTGTTGTTTTTATTATTTTTTAATAATGTTTCATTTGATAAACATACTGTACTTGGTTAGGTAAAACTTTTGGTTGCGTAAACGTAATTCTTCCGGAGTTTCACTGCGCAGATCAATGAATAAATAAGAAAAAGGTTTCTTGGTTGCATCTTCATATACTTCTTGAAAAAACTTTAAATGACGCGGAAAAGAGCTGTTTCCTAAATGTACGATTTGACTGACATCTCTTCTGTTTTTACACAAAATCAAATAGTGTGCATTTAAAGTCACTTCACGCATTTCTTTTCCCTTGTGAAAAAAGTTTTGTGTGATAAAAATAACGCTTAAATTTAAATGATGACTTTCCTTTGTAAGTAAGTTAGTCAGACGTTTATCATTCCCACACTTCGCTCATCAAATCGTCTATGATGAATAATGTGTTGGAACCTAAATATTCTTGATATTTAATTGGTAAACCTTCGACAAAAGTAACATTCGGTATATCATTATACAGAGGTTGGTAAATTCCATAACACCATACTACTTTATCGGGAATCGTTGAAAACATTTCCTCTTTATACTTTAACAATTCTCGTACAAAATAGGTTTTCCCACATCCAGTGGGTCCCGAAATCACCATTGTGAAAGGATGTTGTAGCTTTGGAAATTCCATATTAAATGAGACAAGACACATAATGTATAAAGTTTAAATGTATTTATTGATAGAAAGAAGATCTTACATGAAATTTCTTGATTACAAAATTATATACTTTAATATCATTAGATATATGTTGAGGTATGAAAGATAACAATATATCATTGAGAGATTGTCCACGACATTTACAATGTAAATAGTATATGCAATATTGACCACATACTGCTGTTACATTAGTTTGGAGAGTCATCGAATTAAAGTCCATCTGTGGAAATCGTTCTGCATACTTGGTTTATCGGTCCAGGAAAATAGGATGGGTCATGTCCATAGGAATCGAAAAATTCTAAATGCTGTGGGGATGAAATGTAAAAGGCTAACCAGTGACTACCGGATTCAGATGCACGATCTACATTAGCTATAAAGCAACTTGGATATTTCTTGATCTCGATCAGGGAGTCGATCACTTGCAAAAACTCCCAGAAATGCTTTTCGTGTCTTTGTGCATTCTGAGAGAGTGCTCTGTTTATTTCAAGGCTGTCCATTGCTTAATTGGCAAAATCGCATAGTACATGACGAGATTTTGTTATTTCAATCACGTTTTGAAATTCTGCATAGACTAGCACCGAGAGAGTCACAGAGAGAGCTTTAGCAAATTTAATTTCTACTCGCAAATTCCCTTGATGCTGTAAGTTAAAATGAGATCCATCACACATATCTGGAGTTAAATCGAAAGCATATAACACATGTCCTTTCGCAAATTCTTCTCGAGATAAATAGATGCCTTTGTCGCGATTAAATCCAGAAAATAAACTGTGGTAAGCACGCACATAATGATTAGATTCGAAATCAAGGTCCATTGGTTTACATGGAACGGGTTGTCCATCTACATAAATCGATATAAAGTTGACATGATGATGGGCAAACAGAAAAGGGATTCATTGAATATTGTCCATTCATTGCAGCATTTTCTGCACAAGTAATAATGATTCACTTGGGCATCAATCCTAAAAATACATTATCTTGCATAAAACACCAACTTCCCTTAGATACTGAATATGTTTTGCATAATACTCGATCTATAGGGTATTTAGCAGAACTTTTTTCCAACGCTTTTACATGTCCGAGAGAGACTCCAGGGTTTATTTACTTTTACTTTTCTGATAAACAAAGAGGCATGATCCAAGATCACTTTATAATCGGCATCTTTCTCAGTACAAACTAGACAGAAAGCAGATTTACTACGCACCATTTTAATTTTCACATCAACTAAATTTAACATGAGTCGATTTTGTTGAAAAAAATGTCACAATGTAATTGTCCTATCAAATCCACACTTTGACTGTTTTTTTATAAGTTCACCGCGAGCTTTTAGTCCCGCATCCGCATCTTGAGCTAAGACATCTATTTTATTAGGTGAAGTGTCTTGGAAAAATCCTTCGCAGGTGAGTAAACTTTTCTTTGCATCTTCCCCATAATTCAATAATGTTTCGATGAAGGCTCTATAGGATAGGTATTTGTCGCAGATGAAATGTTTCTTTCATTTAAACTTACATCTACTTGCGAAAAGAGAGAATGTAAAAATAAATTTACAGGGGCAACCGGTTCTTTGTCTGTTAGATTGGATCCGTCTGCCTTAACTACTTTAACTTTCACGTGTATATAAGAAGCAGCTAGATCAATATAGTCTTCACCACTGCCAGAAATATTAAATTCGATAGGTCCTCCATCTCGTATATTTGCGAGAGGGTGATATTTCCACAAACTGTCCTTTTTCTATAGCTGTTTGCGTAGGAGGAATGGTAAATAAATCTAATTCAGATTTGACGCAAACGGGAGAGTCTCGATGAATATACGAAGTCATACTTTTTTTTTTTTTTTTTTTTTTAAGAGAAAATATCCTGTGCTTTCACCTTCTTTGATCGGTGAGAAATGGTACGCTTTTTCCTACGTTTTCTGCTTTTTATTGACTCGTCCAGAACCAATCATGTTCTTCACTTTAGTAGCAGCTTTATCCGTTAATATATTTCCGGCTTCTTTCAGTCGACGCTTAGCAGCCTCTTTTACATCTTGTCCTTGTGATACATCATTTAACAAATTCAGTCCACTATGCCATACTTGTTTTCCAATTGCTTTGGCTCCTGATTTAATAAGAGGTACGGCAGCGCGAAAGAAGGATCTGAATAGACCCCTAATCCGTATCCTCTCTGATAAAGATTACCTTGATAATAATTCAATCCATGTCCTGTTTGTTGTACATAATAATCTTCAAAAGATTTTTGACAACACTTGATAAGGTACATACATTATGACAAATGTATTTTTGACGGAAATGAAGTTTCACGTATGACCTTCCTCGTTCAAATGGCGTAAATGCTCCCATATGCGTTCTTATATCGATTTCCAAAGTGTCTATCATTTTCCGATTCACAGGTAAATAATGAGGTCTATCAAATAGTGCACTCACCACTTCTCCATCGCTACCAGTTACTCTTACAATTCGAAGAAGAGGAGCTAAAACATCTCCTACGATTTGAGGTTCTACAATATCCGTATATATCATTAATACACGATAATGTGCACAGGGGTCGGCTGCAAAAGGACTTTCTACAACAGTTTCGGAACTATCATCTGTAGATGTAATTTCCATAGGTTCAAAACCTAACATTTGTGCTAACCCATCATGTAAAATCACTTTAGCGTTATTTTTCACTTTGATTTTCACTCGTTTTGTTACTGGGTTATAATTAAATATTTTGTTTTGATGTTCTTTAATATAAATAGCTTTTAAAATATCAGGTACTGTTTCATAACATCCTGGAGGTAATCTACGACCTAACATTTCACCATCTTTCTCTAAAACAAATCCAATTAAGTTATTGTCTGCATTCACATTGTGCCATGTGTGCGGATATAGCAATTCAACCAAACCAACTTCCCACATACCTTTTAATTCAATGGGAACAGGTAAACGTGTTATAAAATGTGAAATTTTATTTTCGGGGAAATAATTCATAGAGCTATCGCTCGGAAGTGTTACGTAGAAACTCATTTTCATGATTCGGATACAGTATTTTTTTCTCACACTTTATATCGAGAGTAAATTAGAAGCTGGAATCCATTGATTGAATTTGTCGGGATAACCGCGATATTTTACAAAGTATTCTGTCTGATTTTTTACGCATACGTTTCTTTAAAATTTTTTCAATGCGATATTCCTCTTTCAGTCTCACTTTCTGCAACTCTTGTGCATAAAACGTTCCTTTTACTGAGTCTCCAAGTAAATCTTTAATTCTATACACGGCTGGATGTCTTTTAACACACTCTGTCACCACAAATAGTTCTTCCGTCCAATTGGTTTCATAGACCTTTTTCGAAAGTAAGCTTTAGTTTGGAAACACGTACCACATCTCCTACAGCGAATATACATTTAGAAACGTTAGAAGGATGATCTTCATACAAGGTAAACCATACGTCACTCTCATTTTCTGAATTGACTTCTATGGGAGCTCGCTTTATACTTGAATGAAAAGTAGCATTATAACTTTCTATTAATTTGTCCAAGACATCTACATATTTATATGTATTTCGAGTCGTAAAGTATTTCCACATTTTTGTTTTCAAAGTGCGATTAAACCTTTCCACCACGGATGCTTTAGTAGTATTGAATGTATTGAAAAGTTGAACTTGATTTCTTTTTAAAAATTTTTTATAAACACTTTATTTTTAAATTCGGTGCCCTGATCCGTTTGAAGTAATTTTGGTTTACGTTGACTCATTATTTTTTGAAACGCTTTCACAATATCTTCTCCTCTCTTTTGTTTCAGAGGAATAGCCCATGCATATTTGGATAATATGTCAATACAGGTTAATATATATCGATAACCATCATTATGATCACGTAAATGTGAAACATCCACTAAATCAGCTTGCCATTGTTGATCTATAGAATACACGATTACTCTATTCGTTGGAAATTTTCGGCGAATTGGCTTGTGAAGCGTGTACGCATCTATTCCCTCTAACCATGTTTGAATCTCTTTCTTGGAAACTTTACCTCCTGCAGCACGATGTAAAGCTTCAATACTACCAAAATTTGCAACATGAGCCGGATCCTGATACGATAAATTCATATTCATATTCATAGCCTATTGAATTATTCTTCATATGGATAATGGTAAGTTCCCACTGTCGTTAAGACGTAGCGTAAAATCAATAGGCATTTTATGAAATTCTGTAAAAATATAGATGGATGATAAAATAACGCATAAAACAGTGTATAAACACACCGCAACGGTGGCTTCTCCTGAAGCAGGCATAATTGCAATTGATGAGCTGATTCAAATTCCATTTTCTTATATAGGCTTTTTTACCTAAATCTGAATGTATCCCGTCAGCTTAGTGGTTAAAATCTTCAAACTACTCAGCTGGTGAGATATTTTGTTTCAGGGTTCGAATCCTATATTTTGAATCATAGAACATTTAAAAAAAAGAAACTTCTAAATAAAATTATTTTCTTTTTTCGTCCCTAGAGGACGCCATAGCATATATCCAAAAAATCCGTTGCCAATTTAAAAAAACTAACTTTAAATGAAAAGCAGGAGGTCTACAACTCAATCAGCAATCTAAACAACTCCACTCGAAACCACGCCTCCTAGTGTGATGACGTTGCCTTTGGCCCCGCCCTCTGTGTGACGTCATTGGCCACGCCCACAGCCTCTGTGAACCCCATTTTCTATCTACTATCACGCATAAATATTCAGTAAATTGTTTAAAAGAACTGTCACAATTTGGGTTGGCATCTTCATATAAATTGATGACGCGGCAGCTGGAGGGAAATTTCACGTCGATACCGGCAGGCGCGGCCGGCATTAACATGACGCGATTCAAAGATGTTTCCTTAAGAAATACGATTCCCTCTCTTCGTTTGTAAATAATCTCATCTATTTCCTTTTATGTATGTAATTACTTTGTAGTTTGTAGCAACTATTCATGTTTTATTAAATATTCAAGTTATTTGTAAATTGGACTAGTTTATTAGCCCCTAGACAGCCACATCGGAAGGAAGTTTACGAACATCATATTCCTAGACAGTAAGTACCGATTCTACAATATTTATATAGGCTAAACTTCGAGAAGATTCAAGCGGATTTTAGGAACTCTCGAAGGATTGAGACGCCAAACATTTGCTAGAAGACGGTAAATTCATCTTGGCTGATTTCGGCGCCCACACTAACTACTGAATTTCAATTCTACTTTCCGTTCCTTATTGTTTAATTTCGTTCAATTTTTATTTATTTTTCTGGTGTGGCTGAAAATTTCGTAGAAATTGGAAATTATTTAGTGGAAAGATACTTTTTATAATGCATAATTTTACATGACGATAAAAATTCAACTCTATTATTATTGACAACCACTCCTGTAACGTCACTTGAAATATTACTGAAATCTGCTTTGTATCCTCTCAAAATCATTTGCCTGGTTTCCTTGATTTTCCATAAGTAATGTCAATTATGTAGATTTGGGAATATATAATTAGAAGTAGACACCATCTCTAAATTATTTTAATTTTCAATGTTTTCAGCCGTAAATTTCACATATTGGTTGCTATGATCTGTTCAAGTGCAACTGAAAGAGTTTAGGTTCAAAGCTCTGTTTGCTTAAACGTACTCATCTATTTAAAGCGAGAAAATGTGTAGGCAAGGAACTTTTCTAGAGGGTTCCATTATACTGTACTCTAGCATTTTATATACCGTTAGCTCTAGAGAGAACAGACTAGAACAACTTATAATGAAAAAATTGAATTTTTAATTATCCTTTATTAAAAGTGGATAAACGATATGCATTAAATTTTCAGCAAGCCGTCTTCGGAAGAAGAGGAAAGCAATTCATCTGAGGCTTCATCTGATGAGTCCACCGAGAGTATTTCATATAAAAGTGAGCGGGAGAGAAAGCTTAAACAAGTGCAGAATCTGTTTCTGGAGTATTACTATCCTAGAGCACAACACAAGTGGAAAACTCTGGATGCTGCTGTTCCTGCCCTCTCCTCCTCCTCCTGCTGATGAGCCGCCTGATGCGTATGAAGATGGTGATATCGATTCTTTTACCTTTAGGGAATCAATAGCTGATCACATCCGAAGATGCGGATATTAGTATATGGTGTAGAAGATCTTTGATATGGCTGTTTTCCTTTTTTTAAATTATTCTTGTTTTATATTGAATATAATAAACTTGAGTTTCCTATATCCTATCTCTTGTTTCCTTCAAAATACCTGCTACAATCTCATAACTGCAGTTGATCTGGCGTGATAATTGTCTTACAAAACATCTCTGGTTGGTCTCCTTATATAACGTACTAGCTGATAAACGCCGACTTTGCTAGCCACATTATCTATTTGAATGTGAACCTAGACTATATGGTCGAAACGCATGATTTCGAACTGCTATTTTTTAAATTTAAAGTCGGGGAATATAGTACCAGTCAGTGACTCTGTCGTAGAGATTTCTGTATTGGGATGTGTCCCCATTATTTAACCAGATCGGATTCCCAGTAGGCCTACACCACGAAAAATTGCCAACATAAAACTAAGGTTTATACATATTTAACTGTTGTCACAAGTTTCATGAAAATAAATTATCTTTGTTGTCAAATTTTTCAATGAATTATAATTTATCCTTTATTTCTTTATGTATGGCCATTTTTTAAATAACATTTTTATTTTTCATCGCAATAATTTCTCTTAATAACATATATTTTCGTGAAACTTATCATAACGGTTAAATATAAATGTTATTAACCTTGTAAGGATTGTTAATTTATTTAAGTTAAATTTTGGGTTCAGGAAGGTTACTTTCCTGTCTTCCTGAATTTCAACTTCAACTTCCATCCAGAACGTATTTTTAGAATCACGTTTGAATGCAGATGAGAAGTATTTAACCGTGAAGTTCTAACGAGTTTGTGAGGGAACCAGTGATTCTAGCTAGTACGCATCAGCCTTTTTAGGCTACTCTTTTTTAAGCTACTATTGCTCTCGGCCGTGATTTAGGCCCTTTATAGCTTCGCCGTTAGTTAGCGTTAAAGTGCCAAATCTGTTAGAATATTGATAGCTTCGGCTATATCTTTTCAGTTAAGATTAATTTTTTTTTTTCTGAGTTTAAGCCTGAGTTGCGGCTTTATTGTAAAGCTCCAAGGAGTTCTGCGAATTTAATTTGGAGTAATAAAGGGTCTTTAACCCTTCTCAAGCTTTACTGTCTCGCGAACTGAAGCGATTAGTCGTTTACCAGTTCTTAAGTTTCTTCAACTTTAACTTAAAAGTACACAGCACAGAATCTTACCTAATCATTTTAATGTTTGTATTCATTGGATAGTTGCAAGTTATTTACCAATTTTTAATTTAAAAAGAAAATGCATTCATTGGCAACATCTTTTTTCGTATCTAGTTATGGCAACAATAAAATTCTGTACTTGGATTTGAAAATTAAATGCATGAGAAACTTCTATTGTATTTTATAACAAAAATCCATTTTGGGCAGGATTTACGTAAATCCGTTCTCGGTGCTAGTCTTCATCCTGGAATAAGTAACCATGCAAAATTTCAAATCAATCGGGTGTACAGTTTCGGAGATCTCTTGATGAGTCTGTGGTATTTCGCTTAAATGCATATAAAATTATGTGCAATTTTTATTGGTCATTTAATTAGTGGATTAGACTGTATAAACTATAGGGGAGAGTTTTATGTCGTAAATACT